TGAGTCCGAGGGCGCGGGGTCCCGACTGTAACTGCCATCCCGCGGCCCGACCCAGCACCCTGGTTTGTGCTCCGGCCTCGGCCACCGCTCACTTTCCGAGACCTGAGCAGTCGGCCCGGAGTCCCACCCTCACAGGGCCCTGGGGCCGGAGGGACCCCGGTGGTCAGTGTCCACTCGGGGTACCCGGCGGGGCTCGTGGAGGGACTCACCGCGCTCGGACCCCGAGTCAGGTTGAGACTGAATCAGGTTGAGAGTCCTCCTGGGCAGCGGGGACTCTGGTTCCCACCCTATTTCCAAAGGGACCCCATCCCGAAAGGGTCAGCTGTAATGTAATGAAAACTCAGCGTTCCTCCACCTCTGACCGGTCCCAGGCCCCGCGCTGAACTTCCCGAACATCCCGTGTAGTTCCCTCAGCAACCTGTGTGTGGATGATGTCACCGTCCTTTCTTTTCCGAGGAGGAAACTCAGGCCCAGAGGTTAAGCAGTTTGCCCCGGAACTAACAGGGAGTTAGTAGCAGAGATAAGTTGATCGATTTCAACCCTTTCTTTTTGCCAACGAGGGTGAGTTAGTGGTTGTAAATGTTTCCCCCCACGTCCCGTGTGGTTCAGGGTTCAGGATCTGGAAGAGGAGCTGCACACAAATGAAAGAGAAGAGACGAGAGATAAATTGGAAATATTGGGGGGCCAGGTGGGTAAGTCCAACTCAAGGGGAAGGACTTCCACTGGTGCTCAGGCCTCACCGACCTTTTATTGGTTTGGGATCCACCCATAGTATAGCCCCTAGGCAAGCAAGTTCCAGTAACACACACAGACTATCTTATCAATAAGGATTTACATGACTATCTGGTGGGGAAGTTGCTTCAGCTACCATTATCTGGGCTAACAGAGGTGGTGCACAGCTCTGACCTTTGCTAGGGCTTCAAAGGTAACCAGCCTCCGGGTTCTCTGTCTACACTTCTCTGCTAGTGAAGACAATAGGCGGTTTCCCACAGTTGGTACTGGACCCCAGGGCAGGGGCTTATGGGTGCCGACGCTTATCCAGCCCCAGTGCACCCCAGATGATGTTATCTTCTGTCCACAGAGTCCTGAAGAAACACCTGCCCAGTTGCTGGCCAGGGGTTCAGGGAGAGACAGGTTTGATCCCTGAGGCCTGAGAAGGAGCAAGGCCCACTGGGAACATGGCGACTGCCCCCGGCCTCCAGCCCACAGCACCCCTGGAGGAGGATGAGATCCTGATTGTGAAGGTGGAGGAGGACTGCCACTGGGAAGAGGAGCCCTCCCTGAAGATGGAAGACCCCAGCCCTGAGACCTTCCGCCAGCTCTTCCGGCTCTTCTGCTACCAGGAGGTGGCCGGCCCTCGGGAGGCCCTGAGCCGCCTCTGGGAGCTCTGCTGCCGCTGGCTGCGGCCGGAGCTGCGCACCAAGGAGCAGATCCTGGAGCTGCTGGTGCTGGAGCAGTTCCTGATGGTGCTGCCCGGGGAGATCCAGGCCTGGGTGCGGGAGCGGCAGCCGGAGAGCGGTGAGGAGGCCGTGGTCCTCGTGGAAGGGCTTCAGCGGGAGCCCAGGAAACAGAGGGTGAGGTGGGGGGCCTCTGGCCCTGAGGTGAGGAAAGGGGCTCTGTGTCCTCAGGGCCCTGCTGCTGAGGTCTGCACTTGGAGATTCCTTGGGTTCTGGAGCTGTGGCCAGCTGGGATCATGGGGACAACCAGACGTTTTGAATGGAAGAAGGCAGCTATAAAGTTTCTCATCCTTGGCCAAGGGGTATCCACCTGTTGATATAGCTCCCCTAGCCCTGTGGTCGGCAAACTGCGGCTCTTTGGGCTCTTGAGTGTGGCTCTTCCTAAGCCTTAGGAGTACCCTAATTAAGTTAATAACAATGTTCCTACCTATATAGTTTAAGTTTAAAAAATTTGGTTCTCAAAAGAAATTTCAATCATTGTACTGTTGATATTTGGCTCTGTTGACTAATGAGTTTGCCAACCACTGCCCCAGCCCTTTCTAAGCTAGTGTGGATTGGTTTGTTAATACTGGGCCAGGCACAGATCGCACACCTTCCAAGGCATGACCTTGGGAGTTGAAGAGATCCCAACAGAGGGAGGTGCTCATGGCTGGTGCGTGCCCGGATCAGCACCCTCACATGTTCCCCAATCTCTCTAGAGCTATGTTGTCCAACAGCCCCATGTGCCTTTTAAAATTAAATAAAATTTAAAACGTAATTCCTAAGACACCAGCCACATTTCAAGTGCCCCGTCATCCCACGTGGGTAGTGACTGCTGTACTGGACAGTGTGGCCATGGGACACTTCCATCATCGTGGGAAGTTCTATAGACAGCATAACTCTAGCGCACATGCCACCTCCTCCTAACCAGATTTGGGGAGTGGGAAGTCTCTTACAAATTTCTCCTGCTTTTAGTCAATAAACTCCTTAAATGAAAAAAAAATTAAAAAGCCACCTCACCTTTTTAAATTCCTTTTTCAGTGCCATGCCCAGATTAGATGGTTGGCAAATGCTGACAGGTCACTCTTCCTGTGGCAGTGCCATTG